AGAGAGAGAGTTTTGTTCCATTTATTGTTATGAGTGTGAGAGAGAGAAAGAAATAGAGAGAGAGGGAGGGGGGGGGGCTACCAGAGAGAGAGAGAGAGGTTGAATGACAAAATTGAAATATGGGTCAAATTGTGGCCGCAATCTATTTCGCAGTTCAAATGATTTTTTAAAATTTATTTAGCGTTTTTCGTGGAAAGATCACAACAAAATTTACGAGTACTCCAATTTTCAGGTTTTTTCACGCATTCTTCTGATCACGAAAACTCACTGAATTGAGTAGCAATAATGAAAAATGTGTTGAATCGGCGCGACGATTATTTCGCAGTCTAAATGATTTTTTTGTAAATATTCTATTATTATTTATGGAAAGAACACGACCTCATCTATGGATTCTCAAAATTTCATATTTTTGTGCATGTTCGTCTGAGCACAGAAAATCGCCAAAGATGCCTCTTGCAAAATGCCTATTTCGTTGAGCCTGACCTCCCTGTTTTGAGAAGACGGGGCTCAAAGCCTGGGTCTGAGGACCCTTTTGCAATTCACATGCCCTCACTTCTTTGGGGTCCGCTTCTACCCGAGGACCGCTCCAATGCCCCCCGCTTCTTTTTGGGGTCCACTTCCACCTAAGGACCGGTCCTTCGTTTTTCCAAAAGTCCCGGTTCTACCAGAGCTAGTTCGCAACCCTTAGGCTGCAGTATAGTGGCCTTCCGCGTCTGTGTCAAGGTGTTGCATTTTTGGCGGTGGACGACCAGGACGCAAAGCGGGTTCTTAGGGGGCAAAAAAATTTGGGGGTCCGGTCCTTGGCAAAACTGCGGACTACCTACAACTAGCTCTTATAGAACCGGGACTTCTGGAAAAAGGAAGGACCGGTCCTCAGGTGGAAGTGGACCCCAAAAAGAAGTGGGGGGTGTTGGACCGGACCCCGGGTAGAAGCGGACCCGAAAAAGAAGTGAGGGCATGTGAACTGCAAAAGGGCCCTCAGACCCAGACATTGAGCCCCGTCTTTTCAAAACAGGGAGGTCAAGCACAACGAAATAGGCATTTTGTAAGAGGCAACTTTGGCGATTTTCTGTGCTCGAACGAACATGCACAAAAATCTGGAAATTTTGAGAATTCATAGATGAGGTCGTGTTCTTTCCAGAAATAATAATAGAACATTAAAAAAAAATAATTTACACTGCGAAATAATCGTCGCACCGATTTGGCACATTTTCAATTTTTGCCACTCAACTATGCCTGGGCCAATAAATTTAAAAAAAATCATTCCAACTGCAAAATAGCTCGCGGCCGGAATTTGACCCATATTTAATTTTTCCATTCAGTCTCTCTCTCTCTCCCTATCGCGCGCGCGCGCACGCCCGTATCAACAAACGGAACAAAACTCTCTCTCTCTCTCTCTCTCTCTCTCTCTCTCTCTCTCTCTCTCTCTCTCTCTCTCTCTCTCTCTCT